ACTTAATTGTCCTATTATTTTCACAATAGTAAAATAATAGAACTTATGCAATATTTGTCTCTATGTGACAGATATTTCACCTAGCAAGATGCTCTCAAATCTCTCCCAAATTATGTAGCATTTTACAAAATTGTTATTCCTTAGTGCTGTACAGTCTTCCATTGTGTGAATGTACCACAGTTTCTCAGTCCATTCATTTGTTGATGGGCATTTGAGGTGCTTCCATTTTCTTGCTGTTGTGAATTGTTAAACCCTGCTATGAGCATAGGTATATATAAAGTGGGTTTTTTTTAAACTTGTAAAGATTTAGGTGAGAAGGGGTTCATTTCTATGCATAAGGGAGGTGAGAAATTACAGAAAATGGCCTAAGTGTAAGGAGTTATGATGACTGGGTGCACGTGCAGCTGACTTCCCAATGTGGACACGGATGCAAAGGCTTCTGGGTCAAAGTGTAATGCATCGTGTCCTCTGGTTCCCTTCACCTGTGTAGCAGATGGCTTTACTTTGATCACAATTAGTGATCCTGGCACATGCTCCAGAAATCGATTGGAACTGGTCTCACTTTAGACCAGGCTTTCCGGAAGTTCATCTGTAGAGTGATTTCTTACCAAAAGGGGAAGTTAGCAATCACCAGATGTTAATGGGTTGGTGCTGTTGTTATGTGTTGTCAAGTCGCCTGCGACTCATAGCGACCCTATGTACAACAGCCCTAAACCCTGCTCTGTCCTGTGCCAATCTCACTGTCTCCAACACACCTATCCCCATTATCCCAGCCACTGAATCAATCCACCTTAAAGAGGGTCTTCCTCTTTTGTGTTGTCCCTCCACCCTTCCAAGCATGATGTCCCTCTCCAAGGATTGCTTCCTCCTTGCAACATGTCCAAAGAATGTCAGATAAAGTTTCAGAGTCCTTGCCTCCAAGGAGCAGCCTGGAGCATCTCTCTAGGATGAACCTGTTTGCTTTCTTAGCAGTCCGTGATATAGTCAATACTCCTCTCCAGCACCACAGCTCAAAGACTTCAATTCTCCTTCTATCATCTGTAGTCATTGTACAGTTTTCTGATGCATAGCAAGTGATTGCAAAGACCATGGACTATATCAGGTGCACCTTAGTTTTCAGACTGACATCATTGCTCTTTAGTACTTTCGAGAGGTCCCTAACAGCAGACTTTCCCAGTACGTCTCTTGATATCCTGGCTGCTGGTGTCAAGGGTGTTGTTGACTGTGGAGCCAAGCAAACTAAAACTGTTAACAGTCTCAATCTCTTCACCATCTATCATGATGCTGCCAATTGGCCCGTGGTGAGAATCTTTGTTTTCTTGATATTGAGCCTCAATCCATATTGAAGGCTGCCGTCCTTGACCTTCTGCAGCAAGCACTTCCTGTCCTCCTCAGTTTCAGCAAGTGGGGTTGTGTGCCATCTGCATAACGCAGATTGTTGATGAGTCTACCTCCAATCCTGATGCCACACTTCTCTTCATACAGCCCAGCCTCCCAGATAATCTGTTCTGCATATAGACTGAAAAGGCATGGAGACAGGACACATACTTGGCATACACCCTTCCCAATTTTGAACCATGCAGTATTTCCTTGCTCTGTTCTGACAACTGTCTCCTGGCCCAAGTATAGGTTTCGCATTAGCACAATCAAGTGTTCTGGGATTCCCATTCTTCTTAGAGTTAGCCAGTTTGTTGTGATCCACGCAGTCAAATGCCTTTGCATAATCAATGAAACACAGATAGACATTCCTCTGGTAGTCCCTGCTTTCAGCCAAGATCCATCTAATACTAGCTACAATATCCCTAGTGCCATGACTCTTTCTAAACCCACCCTGTACTTCTGGCAGTTCTCTGTTGATGTGCTGTTCCAGTCATTTTTTAAATAATCTTCAGCAGAATCTTGCTTGCATGTGATATTAATGATATTGTTCAATAATTTCCATACTCTGTTAATGGGTAGCAGGGTTTAAAGACAAACAAAGGAGGAGCTGGGGATGAAGCTCCAAGATGACCAAGGTGAGCCCTTGTTTCCTCTCCCAGAACCATCCGAGGGAGCGTTTTCTCCATACGGTGACAAGGCTGGAGTACTCTTGAGAAGGGCTTGGGCTAGTATGTTGGATCCACCCCAGGGGGTTGGCCTGACCTGAGCCATCACCAGGGCAGTCAATCTGCAGAGCAAATGTCTTGAGGGCCAAGGCTGGGGAGTTTGGGCCAGTGTAATTTAGGGGAAGCTAGACTAAGGTGCACCTGACTTAGGCCATGGTCTTTTCCATCACTTGCTATACATCTGAGAGCTAGTCAATGAATACAGATGAAAGAAGAAGAATTGATGCCTTTGAGTTGTGGTGCTGGAGAAGAGTGTTGAACACCCCATGGACTGCCCAAAGAACAAACAGATATGTCTTGGAGAAAGTGCAGCCTGAGTGCTCCTTGGGTGCAAGTATGATAAAGCTTTGTCTCACACAAATTGTCTACAATTCGACAGCACTTAACAACAACAACAACAACAACAACGAGAGAGACTGTTGGCCTAGTGGATGGAAAGTTATGCTACCAAACCAAAGGTGGGTGATTTAAATCTGCAGCCCTCAGGCCTGGTTTTAACTGTTTTTGGTCAAACATTCTTCTAAGCGGTATAGCACTGGTCTGTGCATTGCTGTACAGAGGTAACTCGTGGTTGCTGTGATGCTGAACACTGTGACACTGATGTGTCAAATGTGATAATGATTACCCAGGGTGGACAGTGTTTGGTGGAGTTCCCTGATTAAAACAAGATTAGAAGCAGGAGTGGCATCCACTTCCAAAATAAATTGCTTCCGGAAACCCTATGAACATGGAGAAATGATGAAAGTTATACAAGTGTTCAGGTCTTTCATTCAAAGGGTCACTATGAGTCGTCTACGACTCAATGGCACTTAACAACAACAGCAGCAACACATACTTTTGACATTTTATGAGTTAACAACAACAGCAGCAACACATACTTTTGACATTTTATGAGAGTTTATTCTTTGGAAAGGGACATCATACTTGCATAGATGGAGAATCAGAGAAAGAGGTAAAGACTCCCAAGAAGACAGATTGACAGGTGACTGGAGCAATGGGCTCAAATGTCAATGAGGATGGGACTCATGGGGTTGCTATGAGTCTTATGTGACTGTACAGCATCTAACATAGTTAATCTGTCTGTTCAAGAGCACCTTCAAGTCACATGAAAAGTCTTGAAGAAATGGAATTGGCTCCACTGTCAACACTCATGGAAACAGCCAGCACGACAAAATTAAGGCATGAATTGCACTGGACAAATCTGCTGCAGAGGCTTCCTTAAAGCAGCTGAGAACGTTAAGTCATATATCCTTTGGATGATTCGGGTACGCCTTTCCCACACATGGTCTCTCCAGTTGCCTAATAGCAACGATGGGAAAGGGAGACAGAAGAACGGTGGGGTGAACTGTGGCGCTGCGGAAGAATGAACATACCACATGCTGCCAGGGACGGAGCTGGAGTCTCCTCGGAAACAACGGGGTGGGGATTTCAGCTTGCTTGGCGCGCGTCATCAGGAAAGCCCATCACATCCAGGCCAGCGGAAAGAGGGGCACCTCGGTGGGTGGGTTGTCACAACAGCCGAAGCAGTGGACACAGATCCATGATCGTAAGCACAGTGCTGCATCAGGAATTGTTCGATAACTGCCTCTCCCCCAGGCGATGATGTGCCATCTCGTGCTCCTGTGGACACTGAGGCGTCCCAAGTTCCATCTCTCTCTGTCTTTCTGATGCCCGCTCAGCGTCAGAGTCGCCACTTTCCCCACCAGCTCTTCCGCGACCCGGGGCCCTGGCTGCGCATGCGTGGCGATTGCCTGCGCAGCTGGCGTTGGTGGTCACCTAGCAACCGCGTCTCCTGGCAACACACGCACATCCAAAGGACCCGCTGCAACCCGCGGACAGGTGAGGTCAGGACAAGACAGACGGGGCCCAGGGCTTCAGGGCTCCTCTGGACCCACGAATGCGGCCCTCACGGGGTTAGTCCGCTTTTCTCTAGGCAACAAGACCCCCGAGAGGGCCAGGGCCTCTCCCCGGCGCCCGCCGTCCCCCCACTCTTTCCCCACCCCTACCTAGGCCTGGCTCCTCTCCTTCGTGGTCACTGGATGCCTGCCCTCTCCTCAGATGGAGCTGAGTTGGCTCTGACCACAGACTTGCCACTCCTGCCTAGTGTGCCAGGCCCATGGGTCAGCTAGCATCACCACGAAGAAAGAGGAGAGGAAGCGACCTGCCAATGCCTGACTCATAGCTTCAGTTTAAACCAAGCCTATGGGCTCCGGGGTCGCCCCTGACCCCCACGGCTTTGGCCTCGTAGTGGGAAATCCAGGGTAGTCTTGAACCTCCAGTTTTGGGGTTATCAGCTGAGTGCATCCACCGTTCACACTGCCAGGGGCCCCTTGCTTTAGGTGGAGGGGGGAAAGCATTTCTTCCTGTGGTTGGCTGCAGCCCTCTGAGGCCCTAGGGATGAGTGACAGGCCTGGCCCCTGGCGCTGGCTCTCATGCTGAGGGATGCTTTGCAGAGCCCCAGCGTCACCATCTGAAAGATAGAGATAATGCCAACCCTCCTCCCCAGCTAGTGCAGCAAGCTCAGATGCTGCAGGTGCTGCTGCCCTGGGGCTGATGGCGCAGGTAGTGACCGTCTGAGTGCGCTGGCTTTGCCTTGTTCCTTTCAGCGCTTATGACCCAAAGTGGGAAGTCTATGTTAGGGGCATCAACGGGGGTCTCCTCAGCCTGCACTGCAGTCCTAGCTGAACCACTATCCACCTCTGTCTGCCCAGCTGTAAAGTCGAGTGGGCATGCCTGCCCATCAGCACACCCAGATTATTTTGAGATCAAATGAGAAGAGGCTTCGAAAGCACAGTGCTGGGGATGATGGTGGTCTGTCACTGTTGCTCTTTATTTAGTGACTTCCACGGAGCTTCAGTTTGCAAGCCCACAAGCACCTTCTCCCAGCGTGGAGGGATGGCTCACACCCGGATCTCCACGTACCTGCCCCCCAACATCAACCCTGCCCAGGCTGCCATTGCCTATGGCTGTCGGGCCCTACCCAAGCTGAACGAGGAGCTGCAGTCGGAGGACCTGAAGACCAGGCAGAAGGCCCTCATGGCTCTGTGTGACCTTGTGCACGACCCTGAGCATGTCTACGTGGCCATTGACACTGGTGAGGCCCCAGTGTGGCAGGGCAGCTGGATGGCCCTCCTTGCCTGGGCACTGCCCCCCCGAGCCATAGTGCGCCTGTCTGCTGTGCCCACGGTGTTTCCCTGAAGCAGAGTCCTGCTGAAGCCAGGCCCTTGCCGCTTGCATCTTGTCACCACAGGGAGGTGGAGGCCCCTGGCACCATTGCCTGGACCCCCAGGCCCACACCAGTCTTCCCTGGGAGAAGACAGGGTCCAGGGGGAGCCTCAGGTACTAGTGATTCTTCTACAGTAAGTGTTGTATGTGCCATGGAATTGGAACCGACCCAAAGCTGACCCTCCAGAGGGTTTCAGAGGGTGTAAATATCATGGGAGGAGATTACCTATCTTTTTTCCTCAGAGCAGCTGGTGAATTTGAACCGTGTACCTTTGAAATTGCAGCACAGCTTCTTAGCACGCAGCAAGCAGGTGCAGAGCTCCCCTCGCTCAGCAGTGAGTTGTTAGGTGCTGTGAAGTCAAAACCAACCCATAGTGGACCCTCCAGTGGGTTTTCAGAGGCTGTAAATCACACTGGAGGAGATGCCCATGAGCTGATGAGGGGCACACTGCCTGTTAGCTTGTCTGCAAAGTCATATAGGAGGGAGTGCACATCCTTAGTGACAAATAAAACCCAGACTCTGGGAAGGCCTGTGAGCCCAGGGTTTCCAGATAAGTGAATAAAGCGGGATTTGTTGCTGTCCATGCAATGTTTCCTGTGTACAGTTCAGTGACACGGGTTCCCTCCTTCATGCTGGACACTCACCCCAGCATCTGACATTCCCATCCCCACACAGGCCCTGCCTGCTTCCCAGGCCATGCTCCTCCTCTCTGTCAGCCCCCCGGGGACCATCAGCCCCTCTGGACTTGTGCATCTGCCTGGTCTAGACATTCCACTCCATGTGTTGACGGGAGACCTGGGCTTCTGTGATTGACGGACATCGCCAATGTGACATTTCCGTAGCACGGGGCAGGACTTCATCAGCCTACAGCGCTGAGTGCCTGACTCAGGTGGGGAGCTGCAGTGAGACCTCAGCCCTCCCGTGTAGATGTCATGCTGTTACCAGAGGGCACCTGGTACTCCCTTTAGGGTCTGCCTTATGGTGGGTTGTGTGTCTCACTGTTACCACAGAGCCCCCCATGTGTTCCTTATGGGGTCTGCCTGGTGGGGGTCTCACAGTTACAACAGGGGGATCTTCCTAATGGGGGTCTCACTGTTAAAACAGGGCACTTTGTGCTTCCTCTGGGGTCTAACAGATTGGGGGATGTCTCCCTGTTACTCCAGGAGTATCTTCCCTCTGATGGGGTCTGCCTGATGGGGGGTCTCACTATTACCCCAGGGGTGTGTTCCCTCTGGGGTCTGCCTGATGGGGGTCTCACTGTTACCCCAGGACCCTAGTGTGCTCCCTCTGGGGTCTGCCTGATGCGAGGGTCTCACTGTTAACCTAGGGCCCCATATCTTTCCTGTGGAGTCTGCCAGATGAGGAGTCTCACTGTTACCCTAGTTCCCCCATTTGTTCCCCCTGGGGTTTACCTGATGGGGGTTTCACGGTTACTCCAGGGTCCCCATGCTTCCTGTGGGGTTTGCCTGTGGGGAGTCTCACTGTTAACCCAGGACCCCCATATGTTCCCTCTGGAGTCTGACTGAAGGGAGGTTCTCACTGTTACTCCAGGAGTTTGTTCTCTCTGAGGTCTGCCTGATGAGGGGTGTCTCACTGTTACCTCAGGACTGTGTTCCCTCCGGGGTCTGCTTGGCATGGCCTGGGCGGCTCTGGACACTCTAGGTTCTCCCCGCAGCCCGCTTGAGGTGTGGAGCTCCCAGGCAGGTGCTGATGGACTTCTCTGCCCCAGGCTGCTTGGAGAGCTTGAAGGCTCTACTGAAGGACAGAGATGACATGGTGCGGATCAAGACCACTGAGGTGCTCAACATCATGGCCACCCATAACGTGGGCAGGTGGGTCTATCTCAGGGGTCAGCGGGGTCCACACCCTCCTCGGGCAGCGGGCCACGATCCTGGGAGTACATTGTTGGTTGCTGGCCTCCATGTGGGAATTTGGGGTCCTCTATAGGGCCTGAGAGGGCTCTGTGCCTCAGAACAGTTACTTCTTTTTTAATTTGAGTGAAAGTTTACAAATTGTATTGATTTTTTTTTCATTCAATCATTCATATACATTTTGTTTTAGTAGAAGAGTGTTGAGGATACCATGGACTGCTAGGAAAACAAACAGATTCATCCTGGAAAGGGTTAAACCGGGTGGCTCCTTGGAGGCAAGGATTCTGAGGCTCTGTTTAACATACTTTGGACATGTTGTAAGGAGAGACCGGTCCTTGGAGAGGGACATCATGCTTGGGAGGGTGGAGGGACAGCGCAGGAGGGGAAGGCCCTCTATGAGATGGATTGATTCAGTGACTGGGGTAATCAGGATGGATGTGTCAGAGACAGTGCGATTGGCACAGGACAGAGCAGAGTTTAGGGCTGTTGTACATAGGGTCACTATGAGTCGCAAGTGACTCAACGGCACAGAACAACAACAACAACAAACAACATTAATCACAGATGATTAATATAGCTAAATAATTGTCTCCTTCCATGCATTTAACTGCCTCTGAAAATCCACTGGAGAGTCAGCTATGAGTTGGTTCCAACTTGACATCATAGTACAACAATAACAATCATCCCTTAATTATAGGTTGTCTGATTCAGAGTAGCCCTTTCCAGTCCATCTCTGCTCACTAATGTCTAGTACGTTGATTTTTATGAGTTCCATTTCATTCCTAACAACTTCCAATTTTTCCTAGATTCACACTTTGTACATTCCACCTTCAGGTTATGAATGCGCAGCTGTTCCTCCTAATTTCTTCATGCCTTCCAGTCTGAGGGTCTCTACTCTCAGTACTATATCTAACAATGTTTTTCTGCTATTCACAAAGTTTCCAAAGGCTGTTATTTCAGAAGTAGACGGCCAACCCTGCTGCTTTGTCTGTCTGTCTGTCAGATCTGTTGAAACCTGTCTTCCATGGGTGACCCTGCTGGTATTTGAAGTACTGGTGGTATGGCTTTCAGCATTGCAGCAGCCTGCAATTCACTCCAGTACAGCAAATAACAAATTGTTGTTACGTGCAGTCGAGTCAACGACGGCTCATAGTGACATTGTCAACAATAGATCTAAGACTCGCCCTGTGCTGTGCCCACCTAAGCATCTCCGATACACTTGAACCTGCTATTGCAGTAACCGTGTTAATCCATCTTGCTGAGGGGCTTCCTCTTCTGTGCTGAATTTCCACCTGCCCAAGCATGTCAAGTGGTGTACTCAAAAGAGAAAGTACAAACCGCAAGTATACACACACTCACTCACTGTAAAATATCAGCAACATGCAAACCACTTCCCCTTCACCCCAGTTACAGCAAACTGACAGCTACGTGCTGTGCTAAGTGCTGCTGTTGTTGTTATGTGCTATCGGGTCATCTGCGACTGGGCTGGGCTGTAGCTGTGATGGTGTATACATTACCACCACGGGCCGTGCTGTGTGCCAGGCTGGTGTGCTTGTTGCCACCATGAACTATGCTGTGCAGGTGTGCATATTACCACCAGGGGCCGTGTTGGGTGCTGTGTGCCATTGTTGTTGTTGTTAATGTGCTGTCGAGTCGCCTGTGACTCATAGCAGCCCTATGTACAGCAGCCCTAAACCCTGCTCTATCCCTTGCCAATCTTATTGACTTCGACACACCTATCCCCATTCCCCCAGTGACTGAATCAATCCATCTCATGGAGGGTCTTCCTCTCCTGCACTGTCCCTCCACCCTCCCAAGCATGACGTTCCTCTCCAAGCAAACCATAAACTAAGCAAGCGTACATATATCACAAAACAAACTTCCATGCTAAGGGAAGGGTGTGTTCAGGGTACTAAGAGGTTCAGTGTGGGTCAGAGCTGCCACTGACCACATAGGAGCCCAGGCTAGGCTCCCTGGCTAAAGAGGGATGGGTGCATCCCAGTCAGAGGAGGTGACCCCTTGACTCTGGGCACTGAGTGCAGCCAGGAGGGGCAGAGTGCACAGATCTGAGTCTCTGGCTCCAGACACAGGATGCAGGGCCCAATGTAGCTATGGGCAGGGTGGAGTGAGGTGGGAGAGGAGTTAGGATGGAGGGGGGAATACAGCCCACAGCCTGGTGAGTAGTGGGGGTACAGGGAACAAGGGGAAGACAGACCTTTTCAACTGTGTGGACACCATGCTCCTGGGTTCTTATGCCTTGTGGACAGCTGTTCAAGGTGGTCTTACTGCCCTGGTTACAGTTTTGTGCTCTCTTGTTCTTCCTAGTCAAGGTTTCAATTTTGTGTTGCAGCCTTTTCAGCTTATCTGGATGCAGCATGAGATGGTAGATTATGTGATCAACTATGCCAGGATTGACAAATTAAGGAAGAAGAATGGTGGTGCATTCAGTTTCAGATCCATCCCAAGGTACAACGCTGTGAATGATAGGATACTATCACATAGGATAGCCTTTCGCATATAAAGACCAGTTAATACAACCATTATTCAAATATATGCATCAACTTCTAAAATCAAAGATGAAGAAATTGAGGATTTTTGAGAGCAAAAGGTTCTTACAAAGACAGAGGAGGAAGACCAAAATGGATGTCAGAAGAGACTCTGAAAATGGCACTAGAGTGTCGAGAAGCCAAAATACAGGAAAGAAGTGCAGAAGTAAAAGAGATGAAAAGTAGATTTCAAAGGGCAACTTGAGAAGACAAAAACAAAGTATTATAACAGGATGTATGAAGAACTGGAGCTGGAGAATAAAAAGGGAAGAATTTGCTCAGCATTTCTGAAGTTAATAGAACTGAAAAACAAATTCAAGCCTTGAATTGAAATACTGAGAGATGCTATGGGTAAAACAGCATCCTTCCTGAATGATCCGGGAAGCATCAAAAGAAGATGGCAGAAATATACAGAGTCACTGTATCAAAAATAATTTGTTGACACTGAAAATTTTCAGGAAGTACCCCATGAACAAGAGCCAATGGTAACAAAGGAAGAAGTTCAAGCTGCACTGAAGGCATTGGCACAAAGTAAGGCCCCAGGAATCAATAAGACAACAACTGATGTGTTTGAACTAACAGATGCAGCCCTAGGCATGCTCGCCAGTTTATGTCAGGAAATCTGGAAGACACTACTTAAGTGGCCGGCTGACTGGAAGAGATCCATATTTGCTCCTATTCCCAATAACAGTGATTCACCAGAATGCAGAAATTATTGAACAATATAATTAATATCTCAAGTAAGCAAAATGTTACTGTTAGAACGTCCAAATGGCTAGAAAGTATACACTGAGGAAGAACTGTCAGAAGTTCAAGCTGGGTTTAGAAGAGGCTGCAACACAAGGGACATCATTGCTGATGTCAGATGGATCCTAGCTGAAAGCAAAGAATAACAGAGGAATGTCTGTTTGTGGTTTATTGACTAAGCAAAGACATTTGACTGTGTGGATAACAAATTACGATTAACACTGAGAAAAATAGGAATCCCAGAACTTAAGCTCATGTGAAACCTATATCTAGACCAAGCTGTTGTCTGAGCAGGGAAATGGAATACGGCGTGGTTTAAAATCAGAAAAGGTGTGTGCCAGGGTTGTATTCTTTCTCCATTCCTATTCAGTCTGTATGCTGAGCAAATCATTCAGGAAGCTGCACTCCATGAAGAAGAATGTGACAACAGGATTGGAGGAGGACTCATCAACAGCCTGCAACATACAGATGACAGAACCTTCATAGCTCAAAGTGAGGAGGACTTGAAACGCTTGCTGCAGAAGATCAAAGACTGCAGTTTTCAATGTGGATTGCATCTCAACTTTAAGAAGACCAAAATCCTTACCACTGGACCAATAAGCAACATCATGATAGATAGAGAAAAGATTGATGTTGTCTATGAGTTAATATTATTTGGATCACACTCAACACCGTTGGTATCATCAGTCAGGAGATCAGGAGACATAATGCATTGGAGAAGTCTGCACTCAGAGACTTCTCCAAGTTACTAAAGAGCAATACTGTCAGTTTAAAGAATAGGGTCTACCTGATTCAGGCCATGGTCTTTTCAGTCACTTGCTATGTATCTGAGACCTGGACAGTGAATAAGGATGATAGAAAAAGATTTGATGCCTTTGAGCTGTGGTGTTGGAGAAGAGCACTGAATATCCCAAAGAACAAACAGGTATGCCTTGGAGGAAATGCAGTCAGCGTGCTCCTTGAAGGCAAAGATGATGAAGGTTCATCTCACACACACTTTGGCATGTTGCTTCAACAAAACGATGTCACAGTGACGGTAACAATGGAGATGACGAGGAAGGCACAGGATGGGACAGGGTTATGATCTGTTGTTCATAGGGTCGCTGTGAGTTGTTGTCCACTTGATGGCACCGAACAACAATCACCCTCTTGTTGTATACTCCCTCACCCAACTGATCATCTGTTTATTACTCTATCCTCTCCTTTCCCTCCCTCACCATCCCTGGTAACTACCCAAGGTGGCTCCCTGAGTGTAAGCCTTGCCTTACGTCCTGTAGCAATGGTCTTGTGTCCTTTTGTGACTGATTTAGGTTGCTGAGCGTAATTTGCTCTAGATTCACCCATCTGTGCAGAATTCCATAAATTCTGAACATGCTTTAGTGATTTCCACCATGCTCATCCGTGGTGTTCCTGACTCTGCTGGTGGTAATGCTCCAGTAAAGCACGGTATATGTGTCAGGTTGTCACAGCCGGTCAAACGCAGTGTCTACTCCCAGCTTTCTAGGGAAGCTCATTGGCTGGTTTGGAGAGTGTGCTGGGATTCCCACGGTTCTCTGTGTTGGCTATCAGTTGTTGTGGGGAGTGTGCTCAGGTGACTGAGGCGGCGCCGAGTATATTTGAACTTGGGACATTTCGGAAACAGTGTGTGGTTTTAAAATGGCCATCTCCCAGCGAGGTGCTTGGTCCTCACAGAACACGTCCTTTCAGGATGGCTGCTTTCTGGGTCACGCAGGAACCCCTCTCTGGCACATGAAGTTTCTTAGCAGAGTTAGAGGTTGTTAAAAGGGAACACACCTGGCGGTGCCCAGCTGCTCCTTCAGGTGTCTTTCTGAGTCTTGGAAGTCTACATCAGCTGAATGCTGGCTTTCCTGATCTGAACAATCTCAAGGGACAATATTTCAGCTCATCATGCAAAGAGGGCAAGGAGACAGGGAAATAAGAAAACAATTCCAGTTGTGCAGCTCTGTGACTCCCCCCCCCCCGTTCTATCCCTTCCTCCCCTTTGGAGACCCATGTATGTTTTACTAGTTATCCTTCTATTTTTTTTATTAAATTAATTAATTTATTTTTCATTTCAATGAACATCTACAGAGATTTTGGAATTCCATTCATTCATTGTTGCACCCTTTTCCCTGCCCCCCCACCCCCCGTTAGCTCCTCTCCTTGAAAAGCAAGAGAAAAACTCCCTCATTGGTACACAGTCCCCCCGCATTATCCTTCTATTTTTACAATGATGGTCTTATGCAGTATTTGTCCTTATAAAGCTGAGTTTGTTTACTCAGTATAATGCTCTCCAGTCCTCCCAAGTTATGTAATATTTTTCAAAATCATTGCCCCCGAGTGCTGCATAGCATACCACGATTTCTCAATTCATTCATTTGCTTTGGTGGGTGGAGGGCAGGAGTAAAGGAAATGGGAACTATCTGGCAGGGACCTGAAAAGACAGGGTAATGGTGGGCATAGTCCAATGTTGATTAATTTTATAAAACATAATAAATGGGAATGATTGTATGAAACACGATATGAATGAAGAATAGTGTGAAGCCCCTTGTTTATGAACTTTGTAGGCAAACCAGTGTAAAATAAAAATTTTTAAATAAGAAGGAAGTGATTCAGAGCAGACCTAGCAGAAATCCAGTTAAAGTTTAAAACAGTTAGACTTCCCCATCTCCTTCCTTGATAAGGTTGTCCTCGGTACAAGGCGAGAGGTCTGATATGCTAGTGGGAGGACGTGACGTCATGCTCAGCTGTAGACTGCAGGGAGCAGGTAAATGGCAACCAAGGGTTTATACTTGATCACTTTTCTTCAGAATTGTCTTTCTAGACTAAAAGGACACTCTTCTTTTTTAAAATATTAATAAAGAAATACATGTGTACATGTGCTGTTGAGTCAGAGCCGGCCGATAGCTGACCCTCCAGCAAGTTTCAAAGACTGTAAATCACACGGGAGGAGACTGCCCATGTCTTCTTCCCCCTACTAGCAGCTGGTGGATTAGAACTACATGCCTTTGGGATTGGAGGGCACCTTCTTACCACTAGGCCACCAGAGCTCTCTAAAGAGTGATTAGGCTTTTTTATTGCTTTCTCACCTGGTGCGGGAAGACTACTTCCAGATGTTAGCTGTGAAAACTTCATGAGCCCCAAAGGTTCAGTTTTGTTCATGAGGTCGTCCCACGAGCTGGGGCAAATTGGGGGCAGTGAACATTACCACGCAGTTATGACGACACATAGAGGTTTGAACAAGCCTGTGTGCTGGTGAGCTCATTTGCCAGTGAGAAGAGAAGGTGCAGACTGCAGGCAGGAGATGTGTTGGCACCTGCAGCGGTCCCTGCCCCGTGGGTGGGGGTGGCAGGCCAGGGCCGCAGGCTCAGTAGGGCCAGGACAATTTTACAAATGATGCAGCTGAGGCCTAGAGGGTCAAAGTGAGGCCCCAGACTGAGCCTGGCCACGGTACTGTCACAGCTGTACAGGGCTGTCACCTGCTGGCCATCCCTGACCTCTTCCCCAAGTACCATCCGTGAAACGAAGGTGGCTTTCGTTTCCTTGTGTGGAGTTAGGGGTGCCGTGGGCGCCAGTCAGTGAGGTCTCAGCCTCAGCTCAGCTCCTAGTTCCCGCTTGATGTGTGGAGTTGGTTGTGTTGGGGTGTTGTCCCCTTGCTGACCTATCAGGACACCACACATGAGGGAGCAGGCCGCCTGGTCCTGCGCCTTCACTGGCATCAGCTGCAGATCCATAAGGTTTTATTTCCTTTATTTTTTTAATTAATTTTAATGAAAGTTTACAGAGACTCATTGTTGCACTTTTCTCCCTGCTCACCCCCATCCCCCCAGTTAACTCTTTTCCTTGAAAAGTAAATCTCTTTCATTGTTATGCAATCCCTCCCCCCAAGTCCACTCCACTGTGCAGCTTTCATTCTGGACTCCTGTCATGATAATAATACCCAACCATATATCCCTTTTAAACAATTCTCTCCCTCATCTGTTTCAATGCTGTATACATCATTCATCCCCTCCTTCTCTGTCTTCCCTCAACCCCAATGTCAGTCCCATTTTACAACAGTGGCCCTATGCAATATTTCCCCTTTTGTGACTGAGATATTTCACTTAGCATAATGTCCTCCAGGGTCACCCATTTTGAATAATATTGCATGAGTTCCTTGTTTTTCAATGCAGCGTAATATTCCATTGTGTGAATATACCACAGCTTCTCTATCCATTCGTTTGTTGATGGGCACTTGGGTTGTTTCCAGCTCTTTCCTATTGTGAACAAAGCCGCGATAAATATGGGTGAACATATTTCTGTTTGGGTGGTGGTTATGGTCTCTGTGTGGTAAATTCCCAGTAGTGGAATTGCTGGGTCAAATAGTATTTCTATTTGCAACTTTTTGAGAAAGCGCCAAACAGCCTTCCATAGTGGTTGCACCATTTTACACTCCCACCAACAGTGAAAAAGGGTTCCAGTTTCTCCACAACCTCGCCAGAATTTGATGTTTGCCCTTCTGTTACATTTTGCTATTCTGACTGGGATGAGATGGTATCTCATAGTTGAAGATCCATAGGGCTTTACGGCACAGGTCGCCAGGCCCTTCTTTCTAGTCATCCTCGGTGGCTCCCATTCAGCATCACAGACAGCCCTCTCCTCTGACACCAGGTGGTCCCTGCCATGAGGGCCAGGGCGGGAAGTGCTGGCCCCTAGCGTGGACTGTATGTGGTGCCGGCGCTGACCTCACCATGTCCTCCCCAGGAATGGCTTCTTGAAGCATGACATCATCTTGGCCCTGGCGCCCCTGCTCAACGACCCCCAGCCTCTGTGCCGAGTGAACCTGCACCTGGCCTACCAGCGCCTGGCCCAGGTGCCTAAAGGTAGGCTGACAGACCCGAGGGCTGGGTGGGCATGCCACCTGCTGCTCCGTCTTCAGCTGTCCTTTGTTGTGACTGGGGTCTCACGTGGTGATGTGGTGGCATGATCGCATGTCTGGGGGATAGAGAAGTGACTCCAATGGGGACAAGGGCAACAGGCCACCTGAGGGCCTACACATGTCAAGTAGAGACGGAGTCCAGGGGGACAAGTGCCTGCTGACCACAGCCTGGGGGTGGCACTTGACTAGTCCCCTAATGCTACCAGTAGCTGACCAGAGGGTAAGGTGTGGGGCTGTGGAGGGGACACCTGATGTCCAGACGAATACCAAAGGCCAGCAATCAGGCAGCTGGACTGCCTCTGCTCCTCTACATGCCAGTTGGGGGGCTCTTTCTGAGGCCACAGATCCTCAGGCCAGTGGCCACTCTTTGGCTCAGAGCAGCCAAATGGTGGGCGAGCCATTGAGGGCTGGCATGCTGCCCGGGAATTAGCTGTGCTGGGATTCCTGTCTTAGCAAGAACTCCAGGCTGGATGCTAGGAAACAGTTTTTAGAAGGTTGTCAAGCTAATTCCTTTGGTGAACCTGGTGCAGGAGGGAAGGTCTGAGGTGTGTCTCTGGGGGCCTCACTGGACAAGCAGCTGGAACTGCACCCTCATTGTCTGGTGTGGGAGCCAACCCCATTGCCCTCCTCTGCGGCTTGCCAGATGGCTGTGACCAAATGGTCAGTCAGTGAAACTGAGTCATGTGGACATGAAGCTGGGGGCTGCGGGCACACCGCTGTGAAGTCACACACTGATGCATTTCACCCTGGTTACAGGCAGGTCCACCCACCACGGACCTCCCCTCCCAGCGCCCTCCACCTGTGGTGCTGGTCATGTCCTGAAGGCGGTGTCCCTGCATGGTGTAAAGATTGTGCTCAGCTGCTGACTCAGTGGTCGGTGGTTCAGATCCAACCTGGACATGTAGACTCATGATCTACTTCTGTTAGAATTCCAGCCCAAATACCCCACAGAACCCTTCCAAGGGGCCCACGGGGTAAAACTTCTGTGCTGACTCTATTTACTGCCTGTATAATACTATACAGGCTGCATGTGCATGTGTTGCTTTGTGTGTCTTAAAACTGTCCAACTGTTGCCCTGGGTGAAAATGGATTTGATTTGGCAGCTGAGGCCACCACCACCCATACTTTGCTGTGGGGCCTTGTACTATTGTGAAGACAGAACCTTGCTGCCTGGTGTTCCCCCATGGAGCCCCCATCATCACTTCCGCCGTGCTCTACCCAGGAGGGGACCGGCAGGTGTCCTCACCACGTGCAGGAGCAGTGGCTCAAGCTTCAGCAGCATCAGGCTTGTTGCCAGCCTGCCCCGCCTGGGGCCTGGCAGCAGCCTGTGGGCCGTAGCCGTGTCCTACTTGCTGTCCTTATATCCCTGAGTCTGGAGAAATGGCCTGGGCTCGTGCCATCTCCCACCTCTTAGAGATTAGAGGGAGTGGTCTATTTACCCTGGTGCTCACTGTTCTTGGCTTGTTGTTCACAAAACATGGGGTCTGTACTATTTCTGGCAGTTCAGTGGCTTTTCGCTTTGTTCGTTTGTTGGTACAACAGTGTTTCATATGGACATGATTTTTTTTTGCACTGGGCTTTGCTCCCCACCTCAGGTGCAGGATGTAAAGTCTCAGACAGTACCCTCTCTCCCTCCCCGTCCAATGGACCACACATGTGCACACCTGGCTGTGCTCCCCCAACTCCCTGCACAGTGTACCCCCTCAGAGACGCCCTCCATGTCCAGTGCACGTGTGCACACTTGGCTATGCCACCTTTCGCAGGATGGGCCATCTGTCATCTGTACATATTTGCTCTGTGGCTCTGCCTGGCCTTGTCATGACTAAGCTCGGTGGTGAATTTGGGGTCCTGGGATGTGCAACTGCTCAAAGAGAGGCTGGGGACCAGAGGGCCCCCTCTGTCCCACAAAACGTCCCAGCAGGGCAGCCTCAAAGAGGTCATCTGTAGGGCCTCCTGTGGGGGCAGCCATAAGACATGCATGTGGCAATGCGGCTGGATATTGAAGGATCTCTGGCTGGCTGCTTCCCGGGTACAGCTTACTTTTCATTATGTACTGGCACTTCCTGGGTCCTGGACCTGGGGTTGTTCGTCCATCTGTGAAGGGCAGTCTCTTGACCAGGTTGGCCTTGCCTCACGAGTCCCGGCACGGCCAGCAGGGGGCGAGGTAGGACCGGTGACCGCAAGGCCTATGTGCCGCTGGGCGAGGGGCGTGGCCTAGATGCCCATCAGGTCTCCTCACTACTCCTGCAGGGAGCCTCGTTTTGGAGAATAAAGCTCAGATCCTGGGATTGGTAATGGTATCTGGGACTTTGGGGTGCAGCTGGATGCCCCTCACTGCTGCTGCTGCCATTCGTTTGGTATCTGGGGCTTTAGGTGCAGCTGGACACTCTACCCTGCTCCTGCTGCCACCCGTTTGCCCCAGTGCACAGACTGCAGCGGCTGTGGCTGGCCCATGGGCACAGCTTGGCTAGTACCCTGCCCTCACTGTGGCGATGCTTCACGGTGGCACCCTCCTGTCTAAGTTGTCCTCCATCTGGGTCCTGGGTGTTACTGAGCAGACAGCTTGGTGGCCCCTGTACTCCTGTGGTTTTGTGGGCCTGCTGGGGCAGGAGGGGCCTGAGGCCACAGGGCCAGCCCTGAGCCCACTCATGGGGGTGGGGCAGGTGGGTGTCTCTGCTTTGACCCAGATGGTTCTTAGCTCAGACACTCTGACTCAGCCTTTTCTCATCACCTCCCACTGGGCAGGAGGCCAGGGAACCTGGCAGCCTCTGGGGTTTCCTCATGAGCTGGTCCACACCCCACAGCTTAGGGGCAGTGGGGTGGGACTACTCGCCGCAAAGCACAGGACATGAATGGTTTTGTAGGGATTGGGGAGTCAGGGTCAGCAGAGTGGGGGCCCACAAGTCTGTCCAGTGTCCATCCTAGTGTCTGAGTGTCTGCAAGTGGCATCCATGGGGCCAGGCTGTGCACCCAGCTATACAGACCTGCCCAGGTACTCTCTAGACACCCCTTGAGGCCCTCCATGCCCTCCCTGTGTGGAGAGAGGCACGGTCAGGGCATGAGGAAGATGCAGAAGTGGGAGGGGTGCAACGTGCAGCAGGCCTGTGGGGGCTCAGGGGTTGGCCTCTAGCTCTCTTAAGGGTAGGGATCCCCAGGATCTGCTGTCTTGGCTTGAGATAATTCTGGGTGCTGGAAGGCAGCAGAGCTGAGAGGAGTCCTTCTGGAGAAGCTAGATGAGCACTCCCCCCATGAGGTGCCATAGCCCCAGATGGGCATGGGTTAGGCCCCCGCTCACCTCAGGGGCAGATACACCACCCACTCCTGGGGAGGGACGAGAGGTATGGCTGAAGGATGGTGGCCAGGGCCAGGGCCTGACAAAGGGGAGGCTTCCCTTCCCCACAACTTCCCTCCATCCCTGAGCAGAGCCAGCAGGCAGGCATGTCCCTCTACTTTCCTGAGCTTGAAGATGCTACCACTGAAATGACTGTTTTCACAGTTGGCATGAAAAGTGCAAAATAAGTCTCCAAGATTCTAAACCACACATTACTCTTCCTACATGGAAAGCTCCTTGGGCTTTCACTGCCTGGTGCTGCAGGGAGGCTGGGCAGCTCACCCCACCCAGCTGGCTGGTGGTGCAGTGTGCGAGTGCATGCATGGGCTTACAGGTGTAAGCATGTAAGCATGCAGACACCCAAGAGAGTGTGCAGGGATGCATTAGTGTGTGGGCACATGGGCCTGTGTGAACAGAACATATGCATAGCCAAACATGAACGTGTAAGTGCATATGTGTACTAGTGTGTGGGCATGTGTGCTTGAGTGAATGTACACATGCACACACATGTACTAGGGTGTGAATGCATGTATGCATGGACACACATGCCTATGGTCACATGTAAATTACACAGATATAATGGTATGTGTATGTATCCACACCTAGGTAAATTAAGTGCACATGTGTATGACTGTGGGCACATGTGAATATGTATGTGCTTATACATGAATGTGTAAGGACATGTGTACTAATGAGTGAACATGCATGCAAATGAATGAGTACACGTGAATGTGAACATACAAGTATCTGAACACACAGATGTATTGTGTGCATGCATGTGTAGGCACATGTGTATATGTGTAAGTGCATGTATACTCACGTGAATACACGTACAGGAATGTGTGCGAGTGCTTACATGCACATGTGTTAGTATGGGCACGTGAATGTGTACACGTGTATGAACACATAAATGTACACATGCATTAATATGTACACACATGCACACGGTTGTGCCTATGCACATGTGAACACATGCATGTGTATACACACACACCATACACACATGTGTATATGAGTGTCTGTGTGCACAAGTGTATTGAGATGTGCACATGTGAATTTGGCATGTGTATATGAATGTATAAATGTACATGCATGGCTATATGCACTATTTGAATGTGTATGTATGCATGTGTGCACATGTACAGGTGTTTGTGTGTGAACATCACGTGTGTGTGCGTGCACGTACACGTGCCCCTGGAGGGCTCTGTGGACAGTCATGACCACCAGCAGGCTGCAGGGCTGTGCTGTACTCCCTGACCTCTAGTACGGCTATGGCCACTGCACTGCCTTGTTTAGGCTGAGCTGGCCAGCAGGCGAGTCTGAGGCAGCACTGCCCCTCGCTGGAGGGTTTCTGGCTCCCTGACCTTGGTCTAGGGCATGTTTCCTGGCTGTGCCTACAGCTGCTGGAGTGGGATGCTGAGTGGGGCATGTGTAAATGGTGAGCATGGCATTGGCTCTCGGTGAGGCTCCCTTTGTCCCCCGCCCCACAGTGCCTGGAACACTTACAAGCCTGCTATCTACACAGGCGGTCCTGGGCCCAGCCCTGCAGCCCAGCTGCCGCTGCCAGCAGCCCTTGGGTGCTGGCCTTACTGTGGGACACAGCTGGCTGAACTACTTTCTCTGCCCACCCAGTGGCCCAGCAGTGTGAGCTTGGCCAGCCTTTTTTTTGTCTTCTTGTGTTCCTAATGCTTGTTTTACAGGGATGGGGATGAGAGCAGAGAGGGACACCCAGCAGTCCCCAGAGAGCACACACTACTGACACCATGACACTTCATTCACGAGCTTTATTTTCTCAAAGTGGACAATCTGAGACCCGTGTGTTGTCACTTGCTGTTGTCCCACTGTGTGTGCTGACTCCTGGGCTGTGACCTGGCGCACATGGGCACCAAGTGAAGGGGTGAGAAGAGGGGCTTTGGCAAGGGCTCTGGGCCCCCACAGGGGTATTTACACGGCCCTTGTCGCAGGGCCTCACTGGCATCCGGCCCCGGCCAGGAGAGCTCCCTCAGGCGACAACGCTGGCTGCGCCGTCACAGGAAAATCGGCCATCTGCGGCCACACTCGATGCAGCATCTGCGTCTTCCACACGACAAAGCCACAGGAAGTGACCTGGGGAGTCCTGCTATGTTCAAATGCTGCCCTTTGGTCCTTGTGAACACTTTCTCAGTATGTCACGCAAATTTGTTAAATATAAATAAACTCGAAGCAGACTGTACCAGTGACATGGGGACTGGGCTCAGGGACGTCCAGCTCATCCCTGCCCTTGCAGTTGCACGGCTGCCTGCCCAGGGCTCCTTGGGGCAGAGGGCCTGTGCTGCCCAGAGAACAACTTTACGCTCAGCAAGCCAGACACAAAAAGGACCCCTGAAAAAAAAAATATGTTTGTAAAATCTACATTTAAAAAAGAATACTCAACTGCATTGGAAATTTCTGGTTTTTGTTGTTGTTTGGTTTGTTTTTTTCCCCCGCAAAACACCACAAGATTTGGCCAAAAAAGGAGGATGTCGGAGAAGAAAACCTAGGTTTCAGTTATAAAACATGAGACTCAGAGCAGCTGCACCTGGCGGCCTGTCTGCAGGAAATGGTCCTCTTGGTTCAGTTAGTTTTGCTGCATATTTTGAAGCTGCTGCAGGAGGGACGTGTGGCGTGGCTGGCCTCACACCTGGGCACGGAGGCTGTGGGTGCAGCTGGTGCACATGTATGGCCGGCAGGCATGGCTGCAGCCCCTGCTCCAGGCTCCCTCTGGTCAGCTGCAAGGTCTCCAGTCTCGACGCCTCCTCCTGAACGCTCACCCCAGCGGTCCGACTCTGGCTCTGTGCTGGGGGGCCGGCTTGGAAGGCAGAGTGAGTGGGCAGGCGGGCTTGAGGATGGTTCCCAAGTCTTCAGCAGTGCTGAGAACGCCTCCGAGTGTGTGTGCGCGTGTGTACATGTGCATGTGTACCCACCTACCCGGCGTCCTGGCTGCAGTCAGGTCTGTGGGCAGGTGGGGCCGAGGAGGCCGTGACCGTCCAGGGCTCGCAGACTGGGCCTCAGCACAGGCCGATGTACTTGAGGTTATTCTGGATGATGACATCGGTTACTGCGTCGAACACGAACTGGATGTTGCTGGTGTCAGTGGCACAGGTGAAGTGGGAGTAGATCTCCTTGGTCTCTTTGTTGCGGTTCAGGTCTTCGAACTGCCGCTGGATGTACACGGCCGCCTCCTCGTAGGTGTTCTGGCCACGGTAGTCGGGGAAGCAGACGGTGAGTGGGATGCGCCGGATCTTCTCAGCCAGCAGGTCCTTCTTGTTGAGGAAAAGGATGAGTGAGGTATTGATGAACCAGTTGTTGTTGCAGATGGAGTCAAAGAGGCGCAGACTCTCAGCCATCCGGCTCTGTAGGGAGAAATGGGTGTTCTAGACAGGCCAGAGGGCCACACTGAGTGTGTAGAAGAAAGGGCTGTGTAAGACAGGCCAGAGGGCCATACCAAGTATGTGGGAGAAAAGGCTGTGCTAGACAGGCCGGACACAGCCTGGCCGCCTCCTGTTTAGTCAGTCCTCCTCACAGTGAGACACACTGGCAGAGGCTGCCCAGGGACCGGGGGCTGACCACATCCCTAAGGTCATCATGCTGTAGGCACTTCTCACTGTCACAGTAACTCCTGTCAGGGACGTGGGACCAACCACATCCCCAATGTCATCATGCTGTGGTCACATGTGGCTGTCAGTCACTCCCTTCATAGACTTGGCCATTACTAATCACCCCTTAGGTCATAGTGGTCACACCTGGCTGTCATGGTCCCTCACATCTAGGATGAGGCTGTAACTGCCCATACCCATGAAGTCATCATGCTGTGGTCACACCTGGTTGTTATGGCCATTCCCCTTGGGTACAGGGATCATGATATAATCACACCTAGCTTTTGTAGTCCCTCCCATCCAGGACATGGCCATCAATGATTACACCCTGGGGTTGACATGTCTCTGGTTTCCCAGCCTCAGTGACCTTGTGCACACACAAACGTCAGTCATCAACTTGTGTACCTCTGTCATTACCACCACCTCCATCTCCACCTCCACTACTACTTCCACCACTACAACCACCTCCACCATGACCTTCATCTCCACCTCTACCTCCACTTCCAGGACAATCTCTACCTCCACCATCACCACCACCTCTACCATCACCTCCACCTCTATAGCCATCTCCACCACAACCACCACCTCCATTTCTACCACCACTTCCACCTCCACCACCATCACCTCTACAACCACCTCCACCAGGTCCATGTCCACCACCACAACCACCTGTACATCTATAACTACCTCCACCACCACCTCTATCTCCATCACCACCTCCACCTCCACTTATACTACCATCTCTCCACTACCACCTCTATCTGTCTCCATTACCACCACCTCTACAACTACCTCCCCCATCACATCCATCTCCACCACTTTCCAGCTCCTCATTCACCCCCACCCCCACCCCTTCAACACCTTTCTCCATCACCACCTCTACAACCCTACCTCCAAGACCACGTCCACCTGCACCATCACCTCTATCACCTCCATCTCCATTACCACCTCCACAACCACCACCTCTACTACCTCCTCCACCTCCACCACCACTACCGCTACCTCCATCTCCATCACAAACACCACCTCCATCTTCTCCACCACCACCGCCTCCACTTTTACCATCATCTTCACCTCCACCTCCAAAAACATCTCCACCACTACATCCACCTCCAATACCACCTCCATTATCACTTCCACCACCACCACCACCTCCACTTCCACCATCAGCACCTCCACCTCTACCACCACCTCCAACACCATCCCTACCTCCACTTCTACCACCACCTCCACCACCATCCCCATCATCCCTATCCCCACCTCCACTTCCACCACCACCTCCACCACTACCACCAGCTGCACCCACCTCCACCTCCACTTCTACCACCACCTCCACCTCTTCCACCTCTACCACTACCTACCATGCATGGCTCCATCTTCTCCTCCTCCTCCTCAACTACCACCACCACCACTGGGCATGGCTCCATCTTCTCCTCCACCCCTACCAATACCAGAACCAGCACCACCACAGGGTACAACTGTTCCTTCTCCTCCAATACCACAACTACGGCACATGGACCAAGTCCACCACTTGGAGCCCAGCCTTTCTTTAATATGTTTTAGAGATCTTACAAAGATCATACCATTGTTGATGTTAGATCCTGGCTGAAAGCAGAGAATACTAGAAGAATGTCTCTTTGCACTTTACTGACTATGCAAAGACATTTGACTGTGCAGATCATAAAAAATAAAATAAAATATGGCTACCATTGAAAGATTGGGAATTCCAGAACACTTAATTGTGCTCATGTAAGACCTATGGATAGATTAAGAAGCTGTCGTGTAAACACAGCAAGGGAACACTACATGCTTTAAATCAAGGAAGCTGGGTGTCAGGGTTGTATCCTGTTGCCATTCCTATTCCATCTATAAACTAAGCAAATTATTCAAGTAGCTGGAATCTATGAAGAAGAATATGGCATCAAGAGCAGAGAAAAACTCATCAATAACCTGCATTATTCAGATGACACAACCTTGCTAGCTGAATGTGAGGAGGACTTGAAGCACTTGATGCAAAGAATATCGCCTTCCATATGGATTAAATAAAAAACCCCAAAATTCTCACCACTGGACAACATCGTGATAAATCATCATGATAAATACAGAAAAGCCTGAAACTGTCAATAACTTCATCTTACTTGGGTCCATAATCAATACACTTAGTGCCAGCAGTCTAGGAAAGTCTGCAACCAGGGACTTGTCAAAATTACTAACAAGCAATGATATTAGTCTGAGTACTAGGGTGCACCTGATTTAGGCCACAGTCTTTTTAATCACTTACTATACTGTTGGACAATGACTAAGGATGACAGCAAAAGAATTGATGCTGGAGGAGGGTGATGAATATCTTATGGACTTTCAAAAGAACAAACATGTATGTCTTGGACAAGGTGCAACCAGAGTTGGAGGCAAAGATGATAAAGCTTTGTCTCACATACTTAAGAATGTTGTTAGGAGAGGCTATTTATTTTCTTTTCTTTATTTTTTAAATTTCTTTCTAAAATTTTTTATGATTTTTTTTTATTTCAATGAACATCTACACAGAGAGGCTATTTCTTAAGAGAGGAATGTTGTACTTCAAGAAGGGGAGAGATGGAGGAGAGAGGAAGACCCTCTACTAGATGGATTGACACAATGACTGCAGCAGTGGGATCTAGTGCGTCAGAGATTATGAGGATGGTACAGGATAGGACAGGGTTCAGATCTCTTGTTCATAGGGTCACTATGGGTCATGCTCCACTCAATAACACCTAACAAGCATCAGAGTAATGATGAGTTTTTAAAGTTAATCATGCTAAAGGTGGTCTCTAAAAGTCCCAAAGAGCAATGGATTCAGTTTAAAGATTAAGGTGCACCTAATCAAGCCATAGTTTTTACAATAACCTGCTCATCTGAGAGCTGGACAATAACTAAGGATGACAGAAGAATAATTGCTGCCCTGAGATGTGGTGTTGGAGGAGAGTACGGAATATCCCATGGTCTGCCAAGAGAACAGAAAGATATATTTTGGATAAAGTTGGGAGAGGCTATTCCTTAGAAAGAAAAATTATGCTTGGAAATGTGGAGGGTGACTGATGGGAGAGGAAGACTCATTGAGATGGACTGACACAGTGACTGTAGCAATGGGCTCACGTGTGTGTCAGGTAAGAAGGATGTGCAGGGTAGTAGCACAGGGTTCAGATTGCTATGGGTCGTATGCGACTTGAAGGCACCTAACAACAATAACAACACACAAGGATAAGGCATCAATATGGATTACACTTAGACATAAAGAAAGTGAAAATCATCACAAATAGGTCAATAAACATCATGTAAGCATTGAAGAAAATGATGATGTTAGTTGACAGAAGAGACTGATTTCTTTCTACTTGCAACCATAATCAACATCCATGGAAGTAGCAGTCAAGTAATCAAACGGCATACTGAAGTGAAGAGTCTGCTTTTAAAGGCCTCTTTTTAAAAGGACTGCAAGAGTAAACATGTCACCTTGAGGACTAAGGTGTACTTGACCAAATGCTTTATATGCATGTGCAAGTTGGGCAATGAATAAAGACAGAATTGGTGTTGAAACGTTTGTGCGAGTGAAAAAATCTATGTCCTGTGGATTGTCAGAAGAACAAGCAATCAGTCTTCCAAGGACCACAACTGGATCACCCCTCAGCAGCAGGGTGGTGAGACTGAGACTCGGTTCCTGGGAATGTGGGAAGAATGACAAAAACAAGAGAGGCCCTCCAAAGATGGGCTAACAAGATGGGCAGCACGCTTGGAGACCCATCCTGTGACGAGGGAGCAGTCGGGGAGCAGCGTCTGCTATGCTGAGGCTGCTATTGGTTAGTAGGGGCCCAGGGCACCCCACAGCCACACTGCTTTTCTCTGGTTCCCAATCCCACTGTCCCCACCATAGCAACAATTCCAACTGTAATGGGATGGAATGAAGCACAGTCCCTGGGGTGGCAGAGGTGACATGGCTGTGTTGGGGGGGTACCTGTATCTGGGGGTAACAAGCCTGTGTTGGGGTGATATATTCATGGCAGGGGTAACATGCCTGTATTGCGGTGATGTGCCTGTGTCTGGGGTTACATTCCTGTGTTGGAGTATTACGTGTCTGTGTTATGGGAACACCTGCTGGGTGGTATGCCCATGTTGGGGGTGATGGGCCTATGTTGGGGTGATGTACCTGTATTGGGGGTAATGTGCCTCTATCAGAGTGACATGCCTCTATTAGGGGCGATGTACCTATGTCTGGGGTTACGTGCCTGTGTTGGTGGGTTATGTGCGTGTATTAGGGGAACTCATGTTGGAGTGACGTGCTTGTGTTGGGGTTCAATGTGCCTGTGTTGAGTGGTCACATGCCTGTGTTATAGGAACCCGTGCTGGGGTGATGTGCCTCTGTTATGGAAACCCGTGTTGGGGGGTAATGTGCCTGTGCTGGAGTGATGTACCTGTGTGACACTGGGTCTACGTGGCCTGTAATGGGGTCTAAGCATGGTCCCTAGGGGTGGCAAGGTGATGTGTCTATATGACACTCTGTCTACAGGGTGCTAGCAGTTGGCATCTCAGTGCCACACTGGGGTGACACTAGGGTGACAGAAGTGGCTCTGCAGGTCAGGGTGCAGGCACCGCATCAGCATGGGGAGGGACAGGGCTGCAGGGTAGGCCCATGTGCTGCATCCATCCCGAGCCCCATACTTGGGAGCAGTTCTGTGCTCAGGGGCAGGGTAGGGGACTGGAACTCTGTGCTCAGAGTTGAGGGGTTG